AACGTAAGGTAAGTTAGTAGGACGACTTAGGGTTTCGGGGTAACTAAAGTAACTACTAAGTTACTACTAACTACGAAACGAACTCGTGCCCACCCCCCCCCCCCCCCCCCCCAAAATAAGAACAAAAGAACCAGGCAGAGAGATAGTGCAGCTACTAACCAGCCTATAGTAAACCATTTGCTTAGTGTATTGTGTTTCTGAAGAAGGAATATAACTCCTTCCGTGAAAACTAGGATCTCTCTGAAATATAGCAATATGCTGGTCATTTTTTCTGCGTTACATAAAGGAATAACTGCTCACACAAACCCTTTTTATTATTAATAGTAAGAATATGAATATGTGTACTGGTTCCCTTTTATGAATTGACCTATTTTGAGTTCTCTTTTCAAAAAGATCAATTGTTTATTTCTTCATGGTGATATTAACTGCGAACTAAACTATCTAATAGCTAGAAAGACAAAAAGTTCCACCTAATGCATGAAGGAGGCTTTCGCACTCAGCATCAAACAACAAAATGACTCATCATTATATTTATGGTAATCAGATTAATCAATTAGACAGCATAAAAGGCACAGAATACTCGTGCAGATAAGCTATCTCTCTCTATTTTGTTTTAAATAAAGAAACGAGAATAAAATCAACAGCCTGGTCGATCATCTTCCTTTTAGACACTATTTAACATGAGGGTAAATGTTTTCCAGGAAAAAACTTTCTAGGTGATATCATTTTCTGGTGTTTAATTGCTAAACTATTGAAACAAAACCATTTTACATCAAATTTTAAAAAAACAACTCGCGTCTGCACTGACCATTTTTCATTCCAATCCTGCTCCATATCACCATGTAAACATATGTTTCCACTCTCCACTAAACATAAAGTCATCACCAATCACCACCCCCCACGCCACCCTATTGCCAGTATAACATTCGACCAAATTTTTGTCCAACCATACATCACAAAAGGAGTTAGCGAATGATATTGCTAGGTAAATGACTTCCCAATGAAACTAATGTTTCAGGAAAATATTTTACATTGTGTAAAACAAGGCTTAGGTGCCAAATTGCACAATCATTTACATAATTTGTTATGACACAAACCTCATCTCCTCTACCAACTCATTTAATTCCATAGCAACCTATTTTCGATAATTCGGCACCAAGAAGTAAAGCTCATCCAGTTAACTTTTTATTCTGCAGCTATCCAAACTCATACATACTCAAATAAATCACGAAAACCACTAACTCAAAAGCAAAATTAAGAAACATATATATTCTAGTATAGCAGAAAAGAAAACGACGGGTCAATATTTCCCGTAATAAATAATACATAAATCAAGAATAAAAGGAAAACCCAAAAAAGGGGAATAGGGAAATTACCGAATGACGAAGAGAAGGGGAAGCAGAAGGATAATAATGAAGAAGAAGGGATCGGATAGAGGAAACAGCTTCCTCAAATATTTGTTTCTTTCCCAACTGCTTCTGCAATTCTTGAAGCTTCTGCTTCAATTCTTCCTCACTCTGACGCCTCTCCATTTTTGATTTTTTGGTTTGCTTAGCTCAACAAACTTCTCTCCGATGGATTATTGCCTTTACAAAATTGTTTTTATACCCGTCGGTGGCAGCTGCTGTCTTGTGGAGGGGAAAATCAACCGAATTGGTCTAATTCGGGTTAGCGGGTCATGTGGGATCCGCTAACCCACTAAAAACTAGGTAGTACCTTTTTTCCTTGTCAAATTGGTGCCTAATTGCGGGAAAAAAGAAATTGGAGCCTGTTATAGTAAAAATTAAATTATGATGGATGTATACTCTTCTCCATTGTCTCTATATCTCACGCTACTCTAATACTTAATAAGTTATGATTATAACTCTATGATCTTCCTCTCAAATGCTTAATGACATATTCAATGACATATTTTACTTTATTTTTCATGCATATATAAAGACCTTATAATAGATAGGAAAATACACACAATTGAAGAAGAAAATCTCTTCCTTCTCTCTATCTCCGGTTCTTGTTCATGTTTTACTAAATTACTTTTATTTCATAACACGTTATCAGCACGAATTCTCTAACATCAAGGTTGAATTCCACTTCTGATAAGGTATATCTCGATGATCTATTGTCAAAATTATCAAGCCTAACAATTCCTTTAGTTTGACTTCAGATATACATATAAGTATAAGTATATTTGCCTGAACGAATGTTGGTTCCTTCATTTTTGTTTTGTTGTGATATTTCATCATAATATAAACTTGAGCATCTTGTTCATGAATATAATATTGTTAAATTTTCATGAACTAAATAATAGGTGCCATGCGGTAAACTAAATAATCTACAAAATTAAAATTATACTTAATTATGTATGTTTATGGTTTTACCTTATAATACGATTTTAGTATGCCTAGTATTATACATTAGTTTACTATCAAATATAATATAATAATAATATTCGTATCTATTTTATTTTGATAAGATAAAATATTAGTACAAGAAGTATGTACTCATGCATATATAAAGGCCTTATAATAGATAGGAAAATACACACAATTGAAGAAGAAAATCTCTTCCTTCTCTCTATCTCCGGTTCTTGTTCATGTTTTACTAAATTACTTTTATTTCATAACACGTTATCAGCATGAAGTCTCTAACCTCAAGGTTGAATTCCACTTCTGGTAAGGTATATCTCGATGATCTACTGTCAAAATTATCAAGCCTAACAATTCCTTTAGATTTTGACATCAGATATACATATAAGTATAAGGTTATTTGCTCGAATGAATGTTGGTTCCTTCATTTTTGTTTTGTTGTGATATTTCATCATAATATAAACTTGAGCATCTTGTTCATGAATGTAATAGTGTTAAATTTTCATGAACTAAATAATAGGTGCCATGCGGTAAACTAAATAATCTACAAAATTAAAATTATACTTTATTATGTATGTTTATGCTTTTACCTTACAATACGATTTTAGTATGCCTAGTATAATGATTATACATTAGTTTACTGTCAAATATAATATAATAATATTCGTATCTATTTTATTTTGATAAGATAAAATATTAGTACAAGAAGTATGTACTACACCAAATTTTTCATTGATGATAGTTCTTATCAAATTAACACGTTGAATCATTTCTGTATGAAAAACATATAGTAGTAGGTAGTAGACAGAGATTTGTCCACTATTTTTCTTGATTCGCTGATTGTCTTAAAGGTTCTGCTATATCTTTTTATTTTTCTAGAGAGCATAATACTAAGTTTCCATAAAAGTGCATGGTAACTAGTAGTACTATTATTCTATTTGATACATCATTTTTCCTTAATGTTCTGATCATATCACTTTCATCTTGAAGTAGGCTTATTGCACAAACCACATGTGAATTTTCAATATTATTTTATATTTTCATATTCATATATCTGTTTCACACTAATTACTTAGCTGATTTGAGTAAACGAAAGTCTATTGTTGAGAATTAGATCCAAATGACATTATGAAGAGTTTAACTCAAGAGGTAAGCATTTCCTTCGTATTTGAAATTATTTTTGTCCTTTGCTATTAATAATATCAACTTCAATGAGTTCAAATCGCAATGCACCATGAGGGTAAGACATCGGGATCAAGTCCTGATGCTCCATGATGATAAAGAGTTGGGTTTGAGTCCCAATTCATGATGGCCTAACATGTTATATTGGTAAGACATTGGGTTTGAGTTCCACTGTACCATATTGATGATATAATGATGACTAAAGAAAAATGGTATATTTTTCATGAAAAGGCATAAAAATTCCCACTTGATTTACTCCATTCTTGAAGTGAATGTGGTAGCGGCGCATAATAAGTCTAAATGAAGACAAGTGGTTGAACAATGAACGTGGGCATTCCAAAGATCAAAATAATAATAATCATCACTATGATTATAAAATGAGAACAATAAGAGTTCTCAAAATAGTCCTTCAAAATATGAAGGCAATGCCATCAAATTGGTATGAAAAATAATAAAGCACGCCGCTGATTATGATCCATTCCTTGAAGAGAATGTGACTTGTGATAAGCATTGAGAATGTAGACCCATTACTAAAGGTGAATGTGGCAATATGTGATAAAAGTAATGAATAAAGACATGCAATGCATGATTGGATGAAGACCACACAACTCAGCTCTAAGGGAGGTTTGAGTGAAATAAAGAGAATAAATATTATTGCGTGGTTACATGAATATATATGTCACTGGCCAAAAATTATTTTGTCATGCCTTATAAAAAGTTATTAAAGGCAAAATTAAAGCAAGAAATAATTTTGCTTATGATGATTTTGACCATGTGAGATCCTCGCGACGCATCATAGGCTCTTGGTGATGGACGTCGGTATTATGATAAAGAGAAAGAAGAGGTCCGCACTAGGACGACCGAGGATCAGGTGAGGAGCCTTGACTAAGGATAACGCTCAGGAGTTGGAGAGGAGGTTATTGACATTGGGAGCCTGGAGGAGTAGTGGGGACGCGAGTGCTATATAGGCAACGGTGGTGAACTGTATTAGGGAGGCGGCAAAAGAGGCGTTAGGGGTCTCGAAAGGTTATACTGACAGGAACAAAGGTAACTGGTGGTGGAATGAAGTTGTCCAAGGCAAAGTGGAAGAGAAGAAGGTGGCGTAACTGAGGTTAGTAGGGAGCATAGACGAGGAGGAGAGGAGAACAAACAAAGAGAGAGGTATAAGGTAGCTAGGAGGGAGGCAAAGTTGGCAGTCACGGAGGCTAAGACTGCTACGTTTGTTCGTCTGTACGAGGAACTGGGGGACAAAGGCGGGGATAAAAAGATCTTCCGATTGGCCAAGGCAAGAGAGAGGAAGGCTCGAGATCTTGACCAAGTGAGGTGCATCAAAGATGAGGACGGCAGAGTATTGATGGGAGAGGCTCAGATTAAGAGGAGATGGCAGACTTACTTTCATAAACTTCTGAATGAAGATAGGGACATGGATATTGTGCTAGGTGAATTGGGGCATTTCGAGAGTCACCAAAACTTTGGGTAATGTAGATGTATTAGGGTTGAGGAGTTCGTGGGGGCTATGCGTAAGATGAGTAGGGGTAGAGCGACCGGACCAGATGAAATTCCGGTTGAATTTTGGAGGAGTGAGGGTAGGGCAGGTTTGGAGTGGCTAACTGGGCTGTTCAATATTATTTTCAGGACGAAGAGGATGCCGGATGAGTGGAGGTGGAGTACGATGGTACCGTTGTACAAGAACAAAGGTGATATCCAGAATTGTCAACTATAGGGGTATTAAGTTACTAAGTCATACCATGAAAGTTTGAGAGAGCGTGCTAGAAGAGAGGGTAAGGAGAACTGTGTCTATATTGGATAACCAGTTTAGGTTCATGCCGGGTCGTTCAATTACGGAAGCTATCCACCTTATTAGGAGGTTGGTGGAACAGTACAAGGATAGGAAGAAGGATCTGCATATGGTGTTTATTGACCTGGAGAAAGCGTATGACAAGGTACCTAGGGAGGTTCTTTGGAGATGCCTGGAGGCGAAAGGCGTGCCGGTTGCTTACATTAAGGCGATTAAGGACATGTATGATGGAGCTAAGACTCGGGTTAGGACTATGGCTAGCGACTCGGAGCATTTTCCGATTGCTATGGGGTTGTACGAAGGATCTGCGCTCAGCCCATTTTTATTTGCCATGGTGATGGACACACTGACGCACCATATTCAAGGGGGGTTCCATGGTGTATATTATTCGCTAGCGACATAGTTCTGATTGATGAGACGCGAGGCGGCGTTAATGAAAGGCTGGAGGTTTGGAGACAGGCCCTTGAGTCTATGGGTTTCAAGTTTAGCAGGACTAAGACAGAATACCTGGAGTGTAACTTCAACAAAAGTCAAAAAGTCAACTCAAAAGGCCAGCCCCGGGCCTACATCTTGTAATCCAAAAAAAAAGTTACAAAATCTGAACACCCATTCAACCACGAGTCCAACCACATCAAAATTACCAAATTCCGACACCAAATCGTCACTCAAATCCCAAAATTTTTACTCTCCAATCCTAGTCAAAACTCCTTAAATTCCACCTTAAAAACACGTAAACTAGGTGGGAAATTCAATGGGTATTCAATATTAATGAATAAAACTGATCAAAAGTGACTTACCTCTTGAATTCTACTGAAATCTTTTTCAAAAAACCCCTTAAATTTGAGTTCCCAAAGTCCAAAAATGAATAAAATCTCGGAACCCTTCAACTATATACACTGCCCCAGGCATTTCGCTTCTGGGGCCAAAATTCTGCATATGTGGAACGCTTTTGCGGTGAAAACTCTGCACCTGCAGAATTCACCTAAGCCTTCACAATCCACACCTGCGCTCCAAGATCCGCATCTGCGGAAGTGCTTCTGCACCCAAATGTCCGCTTATGCGAAGCTAACCTCACCTACCCATCTCCGCATCTGCGGGCTTGCAGATGCTGAAGGTCTCTCGCACATGCGACCACTGGCCAGCTCCTTCAGGCCCCGCACCTACGACCCCTAAATTGCTTTTGCGAGCTCGCACTTGCGAACAATCCCTCGCACCAGAAACCCCCAGCTTCAGTAACATCCTAAGTCCAAATTCAACTAAATAACCATCCAAAATACACCTGAGTTCCCCCGGGACCTCAACCAAACATACCCACAAGTCTTAAAATACGATATGAACTTAGCCGAGGCCTCAAATCACATAAAAAACATCAAAAACATGAATCGCACCCCAATTCAAGC